AAAATGATGTTTTCCATCTTGTGCTGGGCTCGTTAACAGGCAAAAAGGCTGTTTCGTAATTTTCATCCTGCTGTTTTTCAAGAACGAACAGGAAACTTTTCAACTGGTCTGTGGAGACCACTTAGAATGTACTGACCGTGGATAATTAGAAGTTTAATCGTGTGCTAGAGAAGGAATTCTCATTTTCTCTTAAACGACCGATGCAAATTCAGAACAAAAACCTTTTCACCGACCAGCACAAGGAGAGATTCGAGCCAAAGAACATTGCCTTTCTGTGCTTGTTTCAACTTTTTGCACGAAAAGACACGTTACAAAGAGGCGACCGGATGCGCTTTTATAACCTCAACAGCACTTGGTACGTGAAATTCGCAAAAATAAAATAAGTTATTTTATAAGAATGTTCTTCGCTAAGATTTTCATTGCTGACGCAATTGAAAAAGCCTCTAAACTGAATTTATTTTAAGAAGTAACTTATAAATGTGTAAAAATCTAATATTTCTTTTTAACTTGAACTGCTGTTAAAAAATTTCTACGAAATACGTAACTAAAAGTTGAATAAGAATTAACGCGGTATAATCTGAGAAATATACGTAGAACGGGCAAACATTATCGCATTGCGACTGTTCCCCGGTTGGAGAAACGTTAAAAAAAGAAACGAACTATTCCTTCCATCGAGAATTCAGACAGCTGCGCCTTCGTTTCTCGTTGTCTTATTTTTCCCCGGCAAGAATACAGAAGTTTCTTCCGCATCGATTAGCGTTTTCTGCTCGAGAACATACTAGCCGCTGACCGACTTCGAAGTTGAGACCATTGTTACGAATTTAATATAAGTCGAGAAAGAAATCCGGTTGCTGGTGGAAGAAAATACGATAAACGCGAATGTAATGTTTGAAATACTCGGGGAAATTCTAGAATTTTGCGTAATAGTAAAATCATGAATCGTTAATGCAAGAAAAAAATTAACGACTTAAAAGTTGTGATAAAAACGCAATTTCTATTGATTTATAAATATACTTGCACGTGTATTCGTTGATTTAACAACGTTACAACATTTACACAACTCGTTCAAGTTGTTAATTGTTAAGTTATATTGGTCGACAGAACCTGGAGGCTCGTGATATTCAAATTTGGCGCGTTGCGCTACTTTTCAAGTGAAATGGAAAAGTTGACTGGATAAAATATATCTCGTTCAAAGAAAATGATTATACCGTAACAATCAGATTGTTCGCGTGCGCCACATATTTGTTAAAACGAAACGAACCGAGCGCATAAAACGGCGAAAGTAAAAATAGGAGGAATGCTTCGCGGAGCGTGAAATTTGCCACGTGTTTACTCTCTTAAATTGTTTGGGTCCAGAGATTGTTTATTTCCATACTAAATAGTAATTTCTCGTCCGTTGTGTCTCTAAAATAAATTCCTTTATAGCATACTTTCGCCCGGGTGACTAAATCCCGACAAAGTTAAAATTTACGTCGATCCTTTTACGTCCACTGTATTAATCCAGTGTGCAAATTTTTAAAGAGATCGAGAGAACCGAATAGAAAAATGAAAGAAGCGTAAGGCGATGTTTATGACACTGTGTACACATATTTGAGAGTATTATAATCGATATGTTAAACAACCGATGTTAGAAAAGAAGACAGCTGGAAAAAAAGATCCTAAATTACCCTAATTTTTACTCAGGGGTTATTTGACACTAGATTGCCCAAGGAAGTCATTTTGACTGCTTTTTAATTTCAATTGGAAAAACAATTATGTACAGTGAGGAGCATAAATGAACCAATGACCACTAGTTTTGTATACAGCTTTATTTATCGTTAAGAATGTGGAAGAATATTAAGAAATATTACTAAATCCCGACAAAGTTAAAATTTACGTCGAACCTTTTACGTCCACTGTATTAATCCAGTGTGCAAATTTTTAAAGAGATCGAGAGAACCGAATAGAAAAATGAAAGAAGCGTAAGGCGATGTTTATGACACTGTGTACACATATTTGAGAGTATTATAATCGATATGTTAAACAACCGATGTTAGAAAAGAAGACAGCTGGAAAAAAAGATCCTAAATTACCCTCATTTTTACTCAGGGGTTATTTGACACTGGATTGCCCAAGGAAGTCATTTTGACTGCTTTTTAATTTCAATTGGAAAAACAATTATGTACAGTGAGGAGCATAAATGAACCAACGACCACAAGTTTTGGATAGATTCTTATTTATCGTTAAAAATGTGGAAGAATATTAAGAAATATTACTAAATCCCGACAAAGTTAAAATTTACGTCGATCCTTTTACGTCCACTGTATGAATCCAGTGTGCAAATTTTTAAAGAGATCGAGAGAACCGAATAGAAAAATGAAAGAAGCGCAAGGCGATGTTTATGACACTGTGTACACATATTTGAGAGTATTATAATCGATATGTTAAACAACTGATGTTAGAAAAGAAGACAGCTGGAAAAAAAGATCCTAAATTACCCTCATTTTTACTCAGGGGTTATTTGACACTGGAGTGCCCAAGGAAGACATTTTGACTAATTTTTAATTTCAATTGGAAAAACAATTATGTACAGTGAGGAGCATAAATGAACCAATGACCACAAGTTTTGTATACAGCTTTATTTATCGTTAAGAATGTGGAAGAATATTAAGAAATATTACTAAATCCCGACAAAGTTAAAATTTACGTCGATCCTTTTACGTCCACTGTATGAATCCAGTGTGCAAATTTTTAAAGAGACCGAGAGAACCGAATAGAAAAATGAAAGAAGCGCAAGGCGATGTTTATGACACTGTGTACACATATTTGAGAGTATTATAATCGATATGTTAAACAACTGATGTTAGAAAAGAAGACAGCTGGAAAAAAAGATCCCAAATTACCCTCATTTTTACTCAGGGGTTATTTGACACTGGATTGCTCAAGGAAGTCATTTTGACTGATTTTTAATTTCAATTGGAAAAACAATCATGTACAGTGAGGAGCATAAATGGACCAATGACCACAAGTTTTGTATACATTTTTATTTATCGTTAAGAATGTGGAAGAATATTAAGAAATAAATATTACAGTAATTTTTATCATATTTAGAAGCAACGTAAGAAAGTTTTTCAATAATTAATGTCTCCTGGTTTAGCAATGGCAAAGAAAATGTATCGACTCGGTTTTGCAGTAAAAGGATTGTAAAAGGATTGTTTACGTGGAATGTTCTAGCAGTATGTTCACAGCTAGCAGCTTGGAATGTTTACAAAATGTTATTGTACGTCTTAGCACTCAGTTTACCGCAAACGGTCGAACGGAAAGGCGCGGAAGTGAAGTAAGAATAAGTATGAAGTGAATTGCTCCAAATTGTTTAAAAAAAGTCATTTCTTTTTTGAATGGCGGTTTGTCGACGCGTCAGACGGCGAAAAATTGTAGTGTTGGTCGATGGACAGTGCAGAGAATAAGAAAAAACTACTGTAAAGGTATATTACTTAATGTTGGAGGAAGACCAAAGAAGTTATCGCCGCAGGATGAACGAAGAATTATACGGTTTGTCACATCTGGTGATGCTTCAAGTGCAACTATGGCTGCACAATTATTAAAAGAAGATACGAATATAGAAATAAGTAAGTGGACAGCACGAGGGACCCTCGAACAAGCTGACTTTAGAGGCATTAAGAAGAAAAAGAAGCCAATGTTATCAAAGAAAAATATTAAACTTCGTTTGGAACTTGCCAAAAAGTATCAAAACTGGACAACTACTGAATGGGAACGGGTTATTTGGTCAGACGAGACCAAAATTAACAGAATTTGTTCGGATAGCATGTGTTGGTGCTGGATTCGTAAAAATGAAAGGCTTAAATCATATGTAAAGCGAACGATAAAGCATGGCGGCGGATCCCTAATGTTTTGGGGGTGCCTAACAGCATTTGGTGTTGGATCACTGCACCAAATTAATAGCATCATGAATCAGTGTATGTACAAAGATATTTTACAAGATCATCTCATAGATGCTGTTGAAAATATGCCATTCGAAGAAGAAAATGTAATTTTCATGCATGATCGAGACCCTAAGCATACTGCTGAAAGGTAAGACACTGAAAAATTGGCTCGATACTAAAAAATTTTCTGTTTTGAATTGGGCCTGCACAGAGCCCCGATCTCAACCCCATAGAGAATCTATGGGGGTTACTGAAAATTCGACTTCGGGATTCATGTGACTCCCAAACAACTTCAATCACAAATTCGCGTAACAGAATTCAAGAATTGGGAACAAATATCTCCAGATTATTGTAAAAAGTTAATAGAAAGTGTGTCAAAGAGAATTAGTGCAGTTTTTCAAGCAAAAGGGTTGTGAATGAAATATTAAAAATAAATAATATATTAAATATTGTCAAATATTGGACGTGGTGCAAAACTGAGTCAATCTATTGTTCGTATCATTCATAAACAACAAGATGTTAATTACCGAAAGACTTTCTTATGTTACTTCTAACTGTGATAAAAATAATTACAATGTTTATTTTTTGTTATTCTTTTATATTTCTAGTAATGAATAATGATTTATGCAAAACTTGTGGTCATTGGTTCACTTATGCTCCTTACTGTATATAATGACTAGACTGCGGATGTTTATGCATTTATGGGGGATTTTAATTTTTAAAAAACTACAGAATTCACTTAATATGCAAGAGTATAAGGAGTACTTAAACCAAGACACGAATTAATATATTTAGGGATTGAGAGAACCCTCAACAAAGCTGTGATTTCATTAATTCTATTAATAAAAATATGAATTTGCATAAAGATCCGCAGTCTAATAATGACACAATTTGTTAGAATTTTGTGACTTTTTGTAGAACATATAAATGCGTTTATTAATAATTGTAGTTAGCTCAATTCATTTCCGGTATATATACTAAGTTTCAGTCTTTCTAGTGTTAAATATTCATTAGAAAAGTACCCTCGTAAAATTAACATTTTTCGGTAAAGAAATTCAATGAGATTCGTTGACTCACCTAATACGCCTAGACGAAAATTAATAGACACGACGATAAGGCGTCCATAAGCAGCCAACGCGGTTCCATCGAAGGAATTACCAGCGCCCCATGAATAGGAATCACCGTGAATAAGAAGAAGGGCTGGTAACAAGTCTGCAGTAATACCTGAAACATTACACAATTATAAGAATTCATTGTTACTCTCTCTCGAGGAAAAATTTCTTAGACATTGCTTTCTAATTATCTACAATTTTCAAGTTAAATTTAATTCAATGCCTTATAATGTTTATGATAACTAATTTACAGTTTCTCACATGAAAGTAGATTCTTGTTGGTTTGCTATTTTAGGAAAAAATATTATAAAATAATTTTTCTATTATTGTTATCGTTTCGTAACGACGCCATTTCTCATTTTTCCGTAAATGAAACCAAATAGATAGTGTTATGTAATCACATTTATATTGTTGTGGGAATTTTTGATTGCAGAAACTTTTACGTAACAATATTCCACAATTTGCAATAACAATTGTCTTTACGACCTCTTCGTGTGCTCGTTTTATCAAAGAAATCATTAATAATGATGTATACTACGTGTCCTCTTCAGTAATTGAATATCTTTCATGGTGTTAGAACAAAGTCCTGACTCACACTAGTATCTTGAAATATTTTTCTATCTTATGGAATGACGCGAAATTGAATGACACACATTCTACGTTCCCGTGCCACTTTTATGCATTTCGGTGCACTCGCAAAACGCAACTGTACCCTTTTATTAAACGGAACTATATAATTCTTTTTACACGGATCGATTCCTCGGGTCACCCAGCGTATAAAAGTTTTATGATAATACGATCGTAAACTGAACAGTTCACGAGATCTTTCAACTTTTTTAGTAACGCGCGCCTTTAAGCGTTTCCTTATCTCCACGACTTTATTCACGCTGAGTATCATTACATATATATTACTGAGAAGAATTTAAATATCTAGCGAAGTGTTTACTTCCCGTTTATACTACCAAACAGTTTTACACGTACAATGGTCCAAGAAATTGTTTCATGCATGAAATACTATACAGGGTGTTCGGCCACCTCTAGCAAAAATTTTAATGAGCGATAGTGGAGGCCAAAATAAGACAAAAATCAAGAATACCAATTTGTTGGTGGAAGCTTCGTTAAAAAGTTATTAACGTTTAAAGTGCCGCTCTTACTGAATTTTTTTCTCGAAAATGCGCAAGATTTCGGGGGTATGTCTATTCCCCAAAAATGACTGTAATTGAACCCTACAACCGAAAATAATTTTTCCACAACGATTTGCATATTTTTAATTTTCTCGAATAATTTCACACCTTCTCTATTTTTTTTCTCGAAAGTGGGCAGGATTTCGTGGGTGTGTCTAATGACAAAAACTGATTGTGATTGGCCCCCGCAACCGAAAATAATTTTTCCACAACGATTTGCAATTTTTTTTCTCCGTTGAATTTAGGCACCAAATTGGATTTTCAGTAAGGAATTTTTTTCTCGAAAGTGCGTACGATTTCGGAGGTATGTGTAATGATAAAAAATGATTGTAATTGATCCCCGCAACCGAAAATAATTTTTTTAGAACGATTTGAAAAATTTTTTTTCGCCGAAAAATTTCAGCACCTACTCGATTTTTTTTCTCGAAAGTAGATAGGATTTCGGAGGTATGTGTACTCACCAAAAATGATTGTAGTTGACCCCCGCGACCGAAAATAATTTTTCCAGAACGATTTGAAATTTTTGAATTTAATTGTTAATAACTTTTTAACGAAGCTTCCATCAACAAATTAATATTCTTGATTTTCGTCTTATTTTTGCCTCTACTATCGCTCATTAAAATTTTTGCTAGAGGTGGCCGAACACCCTGTATACATATGACTAAACAACATTATTTTTATCGTTTAAAATATATATAAACAGAAATTAATTTAGTAAAAGGAAAACTTTGAACTTGAACTTATTTCTCTGGAATTAATTTCCAAAGAATAATTGTATTACAAAGCAATTAGACTCTCTGGGCCCCATAAACAATTGGTATACTCCTAATTTATAATTTGTATATTAATGACGTGAATATAAATCATTAATTATTATATATGACGTACTATAGTTTATCTTCGTAGATCATTGATGGAACACTCTCAATTTTGCACAATAAGTTCACAATTTTAATTACAAGAGAAAGAAAATAGTTAACAAATATATTTACATAAAAAATATGAATTTTAGTCGTTTTTAGTTTTCAGATGCATTTGCAAAAACCCAGTTACAATATCGAAATCTTAACAATAAAAACTGAATAAGAAACAGAAGATTATCAAAGGGAAAGTGGAATGGAAATCAGAAATTAATGAAAGGCAAAAGGAATGTTCCATCGCGTGATAGTTTTTGCTTTTTATATACTCCTTAATAACTTGCACGCGTAAATGTACACCAACAACTTTAACGTAGAAAATACGGGCCAGCAATTAACTTAAAAGCAAGCGAAGCACTCAGGTGCAATTGCAAATAACCTACACGGTTCTGCGTTCCTGCAACACATCACAAGCAACCAAATATTGTCCCGCCTTTCCAATTTATAAATGGATGGCGCTAGCAGACTATTATTTAGTAATGTATACATTTACGTATCGAGTATATTGTTGCACATACCGCGTCCACGAATCGTAGGAAATGTTACGCAGCGTATATGGACCGATAGGTAAACGTCAGCTGAAATAAAATCCTGCTAACCTTTCATATTCTGCGACTGCAAGAATGATATTCTCGTTCGCTGAATACTTCGAACCGAAATCCATTTATCGATGAGCTTTTCTGACGCGTAAAAAATTCACTGCTCCTCGACGCGAGGCAATCTTTCGAAATTTTTCAACATTTTACCGTCGACATTTGAAACGAACGAAAATAGAATCGAAAATAGTCATCTTTGATTCTGGTCGGAGAAGATCATATTTTAATTTAATTCTATGCAGTTTTAATTTCGAGGTTTGCAAAAAAAATATGTCAGAAATGGAGTAATGTGTAAACGGACCCAGAGTTTAATTTTACATGACTTTAACACTTTACCGACCGATAGCCTATTAATCGACTGTTTTACCGACCAACGCTTACCGGCTGAGAGCCTATCAATCAACTGTTTTACCGGCCAACGCTTACCGACCGATAGCCGATTTATCAACCGTTACCGGTCGGTAAAGTGTTAAGAAATTCATAATACGGAACTGGACAAATTGTACAAAACACACTTGAACACAGAATGAAATTAACTGATAAAATTAGAGGGTTGCAAATAGGTGATAAAATAATTTAATTCGTATAGATCATTGTAGGATTGATCAAACTGTGCTACTGACAAAGTAATCCACGATTTTGGCAAATGAACGTTAAAAGTAGAAGAAAATATCAATTTTTCCATACTTAAAACGCGACGTATTGTAGTGTCCGCTTATATGGCGCGAAACTTGTCCGCTTATATGACATCGAGCTAATAATGCTTAGAAATTCAGCTCTCCGGATGTGTCATAGTGTGGACAATACTGTAGAAGGATGTTCAACTTTAATAAAGGATGAATTTGTGTAAAATATTCCGTATTTCAGAATATTGAATATGTAAATATGACTGTCGATCATGTCATTAAAATCGTGAAGCCTAACTTAACAATTTACGGAACGAGAAGTTTATTTAATTATATTTTTATATGTCCTGTAGATGAAAAATTTCTGTGAATTATACAGGGTGTTCGACTAACCCTGGGAAAAATTTTATTGGGGGATTCTAGAGACCAAAATGAGACGAAAATCAAGAATACTAATTTGTTGATTAAGGCTTCGTTAAAAAGTTATTAACGTTTAAGGCTGTTAAACTGCGCTGTTAGCAGATCGCCGTTCTACAGGCGGAACTTTAAACATTAATAACTTTTAAACGAAGCCTCAATCAAGAAATTGGTATTCTTGATTTTCGTCTTATTTTGGTCTCTAAATACTCTGTATAAACTTTTAAAGACACTTCTAACAACTGAATCTCGCCCTTTGAAATGAAAAAGTGAAATAATATTTCTTGAGAGTCAAGTTTTCAATCAAGGTGGAAGCATATAGCAATATAAAATATCAAATTCATTTTAAAAAATATATCATAACAGAAGGTTTACTAACGCCTAACTAAAGGTGTCCTTGATGTTCGTTTAAATTGTAAAATATTTTCCTTTTCAAAATATAGATATACTCTTGTAGGTTTGTCCAGTGGTGTATTTACCGTTGACTTGGGCGAAAACCCACAGAAATAATTGGAAGGAAGACTACTATATAGGGTGTTCGACCTGGGTAAAATTTTAATGGAGGATTCTAGAGACCAAAATGAGACGAAAATCAAGAATACTAATTTGTCGATTGAGGCTTCGTTAAAAAGTTATTAACGTTTAAAGCTGTTAAACTGCGCTGCTAGCAGATTGCCGTTCTACACACGGAACTTTAAACGTTAATAACTTTTAAACGAAGCCTCAATCAACAAATTGGTATTCTTGATTTTCGTCTTATTTTGGTCTCTAAATACTCTGTATAAACTTTTAAAGACACTTCTAACAACTAAATCTCGCCCTTTGAAATGAAAAAGTGAAATAATATTTCTTGAGAGTCAAGTTTTCAATCAAGGTGGAAGCATATAGCAATATAAAATATCAAATTCATTTTAAAAAATATATCATAACAGAAGGTTTACTAACGCCTAACTAAAGGTGTCCTCGATGTTCGTTTAAATTGTAAAATATTTTCCTTTTCAAAATATAGAGATATACTCTTGTAGGTTTGTCCAGTGGTGTATTTACCGTTGACTTGGGCGAAAACCCACAGAAATAATTGGAAGGAAGACTACTATACAGGGTGTTCGACCTGGGTAAAATTTTAATGGAGGATTCTAGAGGCCAAAATGAGACGAAAATCAAGAATACTAATTTGTCGATTGAGGCTTCGTTAAAAAGTTATTAACGTTTAAGGCTGTTAAACTGCGCTGTTAGCAGATTGCCGCTCTACAGGCGGAATTTTAAACGTTAATAACTTTTAAACGAAGCCTCAATCAAGAAATTGGTATTCTTGATTTTCGTCTTATTTTGGTCTCTAAATACTCTGTATAAACTTTTAAAGACACTTCTA